GTCACCCAAAGGGTCACGCCACTCTTAGTCACACAAACAGTCACTAGTCATGTCACGCGAGTAGTCACGATACACTACGAACAGGTACATCCAAATAGGTACTTCTTAGACGATAAATATGCCAATATATCTCATTATTATTATCCTTGTCATTTCAGACATTTCCAATACAATGTGTAAAGTATTTCGCTGACTTTTACTTGTGCTTCCACCAAATCTAGATCCTGGCCACCCTAAACACGTGGTTCACTTCTACAAAAATGGGTTCAGGGCGACTCGGGATGAGGTTGGAGCCGTATAGGTCAGCGGGGGCTGGTTTGGCGCGTGACTTGAGGGCCGAGCCTGCGGACCCATAGGGTTCGCGTTGTTAAATTATATATTGTGCTATATAATTGATAGGCTTGGTAGGTTACCGAACTCTACTGTAGAGGGTACAACTCCCTCCTTGTATGCCTCTCTCTTCCTAGTCTCTCCCTCTTATCCCTCCTCAACTTTCTCCTAGCTAAACCTCACGCCATTACATGGCTTCCTAGCTAGCTACCTTATCTTAACATGGTTTCAGAGCAGGCCCCTTTCGCTCTGGCCCTCTCCTCACATTTCCGCAGCGTACTCGCCCCCCCCCCCATCAAGCCGCGCCGGCCCATCACTCTGCCCCGTCCCCGTCTCGTCGCGCCGGCCTCGCTAGAATGCGCCGGCCCCGCCACTCCGCGCCGGCCTTGTCCCTCCGCGCTGGCCCCGTCACGCCGCGCTGGCCCCGTCACGTCGCCGTGCCTCAGTGCCGCCGTCCCGCCATGCCGCTGTGCCACGGTTCCGCCGCGCCGCCGTGCCGCTGGGTAGCCGTGCCGCCGTGCCATCGTGCTGCCGTGGCGGCTTTGCCACGCCAGCGCACGGACAGTTGCGGCCAGCGCCCTGTCCTTGGTGCCAGTCGTAATGCCCTCACGCCAGTAAGCGTCGCGCCAGCCATGGTGCCTCGCTGAAGATTCGCCCTCTCCCGCCAGTAAGCGCCGCGCCACCCATGGCGCGTCACTGAAGATTTGCCCCCCTCGCCCCCCCCTTCCCCTGCGTCTCCTCTTCCTCCTGCCGCAGCTGCTGTCTTCTACTTAGTCGTCGCCTCGCCGTGCCACAACGCCGAGAGCCTTCAGCCATGGCCGTTGCCCGCGCTGCCTCTCGCCGGGGGATGTCACCATGCCAAGCCCGAGGGGTAGATACCCGGCTGATCTCGAGCATGGGGGTGTAAGGGGTTAGGGGGTGTGTGTGTTGGGTGGGCTTGTGACTACCAAGCCTAGGGGGTGTGTTAAATTATATATTGTGTTATATAATTGATAGGCTTGGTAGGTTACCAAACTCTACTGTAGAGGGTACAACTCCCTCCTTGTATGCCTCTCTCTTCCTAGTCTCTCCCTCTTTTCTCTCCTCAACTTTCTCCTAGCTAAACGTTACGCCATTACATGACTTCCTAGCTAGCTCCCTTAGCTTAACACGCGTGTACTCGCTGAAGCGAGCCCCAGTAAGGAATCGTAATTCCTTACACTCTCCCACCTTCTAAGAGGAAAGCACTCCCTTTATCGAGGTCGAATAGCCGTTAAAAGTCATCCCTGATTTGATTGTAAGCTTTCAGCCCTGTGACGAGCTTAATGATTACGCCGGCCTGACGAGGTCTTCATGTTGAAATGTAATCGAGGGCCAGAATCGTCGAAACGATCGCTTTTAATAGCAGCCGTCGAAGATGTCGAATTCTTTAGTTGACAAAACGGGCGAGGGTAAACACTCCAGCGGAAGATTGTGAACAGTGAAATTGTCGAGTGGGCGATTGATGCTGACTCGTGGCTTATGAATATCTTATGTAATGATGACTGCCAAATGACGTGGTTTGTCGGATGACGAGGAACCGTTCATCAACACGCGAGGTCCTTTTTGACACGTACAAGAACACTTGTCGATGTCCCACGAAAGTTACTGAATTCTGTCAACGAGCTTACTAGCAGTGGCGAAGGTTTGTAACTAAAGTTGGTGTGGGTCATGATTGAACACGTCGGAGAGGTCTTCGGAAAATTGCAGCACATCTGCACTTCTCCCCCCCCTCTAAGAAGAAGCAACTCCCAATTTCCAATGTAAAACTACAAGAAACCCTTTATTTCATGGTATTCGAAAACACCCAGCACTGCTGCGTATACTCAGCTTCGAAGATGCTGGCAAAATAAAACCTTGCAACAAAACCCGCACCACGATTACCCCAAAAGTTGCTCCAGGTAAATATTTGCTTTAGGGTAAAACGCTTCAAAGGTCTTGAGATTCCGCAAAGATTGCTCTAGAAGTTTCCCACACGAACTTCAAAATTCTTCACGAGTAAAACACTGCATGCGAGCAGGCCCAATCACAACTCCAACAGTTGGTTCTCCAGCTGTCGAAATTCTTGTACAGTAGATACGATACTGCTCCTAACGGATGGCGATGGCGGGCAGGGTCGTGTTCACACTGGCATGCGAAAGTAGGCGAATTGTCGATGGAGGCCTACCGAAGTGTTGGCGAGGGGTTGACGACGGGGGCGATAAAAAATAACCTATACTAAACCACTTTAGTTAAGAAACCTCGAACCGAACTCAGGGTCAAAGGCCGCCTGCTGCATCAGCTTCTTTGTCCGTACACGCCGAAATATTCAGGAAGAGCCGAAACAGCTGCTGCGCTTTCCCCCTTCCATGCACCAAAAATATTTCAAGAATATCGGTCGATGGCGCTCGTACCCCTGAAGAGGGCGGGCACAACTCCAGCAGTTAGACCACCGAAAATGTCGGAACTCCACCCGGTACTTCGAAAATACTGCAACGCCGCTTTACAGCTACTTGTAAAACACTAGGCTTTGTGGCGTCCTTTAGCAGCGCCCCCACGGTTGCTCCACCAGCTGTACGCATGAAATGAACCCTTTATATAAGGGAACACCGGAGTCCACCGTCTCGGCATGATGTTTTGGCCATCGATCAGGGTCAACGCGCATCATACGCCGTCGATCTCCGCCCAGCTGTTACCCAACATCATGAATTCTCCGTTACCTCTGACCAGCTGGCCGTGCAGTCGTTCACCCATCTCGCAGCTGCTGCAGGTTACCTCAAATCTGCAGAGATAGGAGTGCGCACGCTTCTAGTTAGAGGAGCTTTAACGAGCTCGCCTACTGACCGCTGGACAGCTCCCCCCTCTGTCGGAAACTCGTCAAACTGTGCCCGCAAACTCCGGACACTCTTTCTGCTGCACCAGGGGAAACCCTCAACTACGCTGCAACAATAACTCTTGAGCTTTCAAGGACACTCCATCAGCACAGTGTATTTTGCAGGTTCACCCTCTTTATTCATCCAAGAGCTGTCGATTAGTAAGTCGACACTGCTACCTGGTGGGGATGGTGATATTCGGGCGACATAGCTGAGCGAGCAGCAGCCCGAACGTCGCTAACCCTTGACTAAGCTCCAAAACTTTCGTCGTTCTTCTTCCACCGCTTCTTCTCCAGGCAGTTGACGCTTTCGTCGACCGGTGGAAAATTACTTAATACTCATCCGAATGTGGTGGCCCCTGTTCCGTTGATCGTGGAGGTATGCATCGCTGGTCCACGAAAACTCCTCCCCACGCAGGAAGTCGCCCTCGCTGAGTACACTAACTCCAGCACGTCGTCTTCACACCCATATGGTCGTCGCAATGAATAGCGCCGAGGTCGTTAATCTCAGCTGCTCCCACACAACTGCACCCCCACATGTCCTTGTGTGATCGTGTCGTTCCGAAATCGTCGGATCCGCCCATTGCCGAAACAGTTTTGAAGTTTTGTCCATCGCCTGCAACTAGCCAACCGGAAACGCCGGTACAACATGTGACGCAACTACAGTTCACTATGCCACTGCATAGCGTGCCAGACGTACATCGTTGTGCATCCCGCCAATTTCGCTACCTTGCGCGCTCCTGACGACCAACTCCCGGCCGCCTGAGGACTCCCGTGCGCTTGTCTGCTCATGACGAAGCCTTCGCTTTTTACGGAAGCCAATCCGAAGACTCCGCCAGAGCACTCGAAAATTACGAAAGCTCTAGCGCACGTACCCGAAAAGCACGACGAAAACGTCGCCACATCAGGACGGAAAATAATTCCGCCCACGAGCGGGGAAGGGGAGGACCGGCTAATCCCAGCCATCCATCGGACAGGATCTGACGGCATCGAAAACGCCCGCGTACTTAATCTCCGCGACATCCGCTCGCCATCAGCATCCTTCCGTCCCCTTCCCCAATAGGGTCTGCTCCCCTACCAGAAACCTAATAAGCAGGATCGTAGCTCTAATACTAGCAGTTATGATTTTTAACTCACATAATATCCTAGTAATTAATAAGGGGAACGTGATTACAATGTGACGATAGAAATGAGGCCTATGCAATATATAGGGCGATTGACCTGGCTTGAATGTCGAGGATTGGACTAGTCAAGGGCTCGATAGTTCCAAGGGTGACGAGGTCAAAATGGGTTCGGGGCGACTCGGGATGAATTTGGGGCCGAATAGGTCGGCGGGGGCTGGTTTGGTGCGTGACTTGAGGGCCGAGCCTGCGGACCCGAAGGTTTCGCGTGTACTGGCTGAAGCGAGCCCCAGTAAGGAATCGTAATTTCTTAAATCCGAGGACGCGGAGCAGAGCGCTTCGGAATGATGCGAAAAAGGTTCGGTGTGACACGTATGGTGATGGAACTAGGGCCTAGTCCGGTGACGTGTATGTTCGGTGTACGCGTTAGTAGTGCGCCTCAGTAAGGAACTTATAATTCCTTACAGGTTGCGTTCCTTCTATTTTGTTTTTTTATGAATTCTAGTCATTTCGGATTCGGACAAAGGATGATTTGTACAACGGATGCGGAAACAAATCCAGCTTCGAGGTCTCCTTCTTCTATATAGTCACAACCTCGGCGCTCTCTTCAAGGTTCAGCCTTTCAGCTAGCCTTTCAGCTATGGGACCACCTTGCTTTTCCAAGAGTTTCTGCTCTTGGCTAGATCTGTCCACCACCTCTCCTTCCTAACTTTCCTGCTACGCAGCGTGTTTCGCACTTGGATCTTTCGTCGACCAATGCTTACTTCGTTTACTCACGTCTCTTCTCTCAGGTGCCAGACTTTCAGCTTAGGAGGCGTCTGTAGTTGTCTGGTGTGCAGCAGTCGGGTTGTCCAGTGTCCAGCGTCTGTTAGGCAAGGCCTCAGCTTCAGCATTCAAGTGTTCTTACTGCAGTGCTTCCACCATGCACAAGCACAATACTGCGGCAAACCGCGCAACTGTGCCTGTGCTTGTTGGCCTCTGTCTCCTCTTCCTCGTTCTTCTGGCCGGCCGTTTCATATTCGTTGATCGTGAAGCCTCCAGTGCCAACGAGCTGAATCTCGATCTCTCCTCACCTGGGGCCTCCTCTCCGTCGTCTTCGTTAACCTACATCCATAAAAATGTTCGGCGCCGGGTTGGAACTTTTCAAGGCATCGAAGCTGCTTTCAAGAATCTCGGAATCTTACCAACTGACCTCATCAAGTTTCCAGGGTCATGCGCCAACAGCAGCACCAACCGGATTGGAGGACGCGGCCCAGAAGCAGTGCGGACCCTTGTGCTTGACGAGGTCTTCGACGGAGTTAGCCCATTCGAGGATTTTCCGTCTGAAGCCGTCCGTCCACTGCTGAAGAAGCGTATGCGCCTCCGCGGTTGGGGATCCAACAATTCTGTTTTCGAAAGGCTCATTCGGGAGGTCCGACCCCACTTGGTCATCGAAGTTGGCTCATTTCTCGGCGCCTCCGCAATCCACATGGCTTCTAAGGCTCAGGAGCTGGGTCTCGATCCCATCACAATCCTATGCCTCGACGACTTCCGCGGCTGGCCTGGCTTCCGCAGCTCCTTCCGCCAGATTAAGCACGTCAACGGAGACGCTGTGCTGTTGCAGTATTTCATGAAGCATGTTGTTGAAGCCGGTCAGGAGAAGGTGATCCTACCGCTGCCGTTCTCCACTGCTCATTCGCTCAAAGCCCTGTGTGACTGGGGAGTGCAGGCAGACCTGGTGGAGGTAGACGCAGGCCATGACTTCCACTCTGCTTGGCTGGATATTAATCTTGCGTACCGGTTATTGAGGCCTGGAGGGGTCATGTTTGGACACGATTACTTCAGCAAGGCAGACAACTCTGGGGTTAGGAGGGCGATCACTCTGTTTGCGACGCTCAGAGGAATGTGGGTGGAGCCAGATGGGGAGCACTGGATTCTCCGGCATGGACCTGCTGCACCTGGTATGGGCAACGTAGAGAGTGCCGGCTTTTCTGCGTCTGAGCAAGATGTATCCAAGGAGGAAGGCGAAAACGTGAACTAGTTGTTTATCACAAGTTGTATGCACTTGATTCTTCAGGTTTTAGATGCTGATTTCCTGTGTATTTTCCCCACTTCATTAGGCCGCATTCTGAAGTTTGGCCGAACTTTGAAGTTATGCCAACCGACTCGCCACGTCGGAAGTGCACATTGCAATGTTTGGCCGTGCGCTTCGAACTTTGGCCAACCACCCCCTACCGGCCAGAATCCGTGCGACGAAACCCAAGCAACGGCGGCGACCGTGCACGACAAGAGGTTCTTGCAGTGATTGCCGAACATGGTCGTCAATCGTGACGACAATCAACCCACGGAAACGTTTTTCACCTGCCCAGCAAACAGGAGACCCGCAACGTGAACATGCAATGCGCTCGCCAATCCAAACCCACGATGGACAACCCAACCAAGCAGTCCGTTCTCCAGAATATACATTCTGTATTCCGCCGCTATCAAGGCATTTACGATCCTCCCTCCATCACGACAGCAACCATGGCTAGGACACTTGAAACTGCTATAGCTGCCGTAGCCAGCTTCCTCCAATGGAGAGATATGGATGACGACGCGACAGACACTATTCTACTGTATTTAGCTGTTGAGGCTCTGGACGCCATCGCCACGGAGTCCGCGTTGCGTCGTGCGGAGAGCCGCCGCAATGTTATCAGACGCAACAAGCTTGCACGAGCCGCCAGGGTAGCATGGTGGGCCGAATACATCGACACCATGGACGACCGTGATTTCGTCGATCTCTTCCGAATCGACAAAGACATACTTGTTAAAATTATATAAGTTATAATTTAATATAGGCTTGGTAGGTTGTTACTGAACCTTTCTGTAGGGGGTACAAACCCCTCCTTGTACTCCCCTCTCTTCCTAATCGCTCCCTTCTTTCTCGTCACTTTTGCCTACCCCTAGATAAACTTCTCCTCACGATATTCCATGGCGTCACTTCTAGTATCCTAGCCTACCTAGCCTCCTAAGTTTAAGAGGCACGTGTCCTAAGTTTCTAAGATGGTATCAGAGCCGGTCGTGTCCACCGGACCCTCTCCCTATGTACCCGTTGCGTACTCCTGCTGCATTCGCAGCCTTCGCGGTTTTCTGCCTGCCTGCCGTCGCGACGCCAGGATGTCGCGTCGGCCCCTTGTTACCTGCCGTCGCGGCACCAAGGTGTCGCGACGGCCATTGGTTGCCCGCCGTCGCGGCACCAAGGTGTCGCGACGGCCCCTCGTTGCCTGCCGTCGCGGCGCCAAGGTGTCGCGACGGCCCCTTGGTGCAGCCGTCGCCCGTCCGCCTCACCGCTGCGACATTGACGGTGCGCTGCGGCGGCGTCTACGGCAGCCGACGGCATCGTCGGGCTGCGGCCGGCCGAGCGACATCTGTGGCGTCGCCGGGCCTGCCGCCCGCTCGCCAGCCACGGGCGTCCCTCAGGACGACGTCCTCCCGCCAGTAAGCGCCGCGCCATTTATGGCGCGTCGCTGAAGACTTGCCCCGCCCCCCCCCCCCCCCCCCCATTCTCCCTTCCCCCTGCGTCTTCCCCTCCTCCTGTCGCAGCTGCTGTCTTCTGCCCGGACGTTGCCACATCACCGAGAGCCCTCAGCCGCGGCGGTCGCCGCCTGTTGTCGGCGACCCAGCCGCCTTGAGCCAGAGCTCCGCCGCTGCTTGTCGCTGACCCGCCCAGACGCCGTAGGCTGCCTCGTGTACGGGGGTGTGTCAACGCTTTGCACGAGGGTCAGATACCCGGCTAAGCACGAGCTTGAGGGTGTGCGGGGTTAGGGGGTGGGTTGGGTGGGTGTGCGACTACCAAGCCTAGGGGGTGTGTTAAAATTATATAAGTTATAATTTAATATAGGCTTGGTAGGTTGTTACTGAACCTTTCTGTAGGGGGTACAAACCCCTCCTTGTACTCCCCTCTCTTCCTAATCGCTCCCTTCTTTCTCGTCACTTTTGCCTACCCCTAGATAAACTTCTCCTCACGATATTCCATGGCGTCACTTCTAGTATCCTAGCCTACCTAGCCTCCTAAGTTTAAGAGGCACGTGTCCTAAGTTTCTAAGAATACTCGCCCACTTGGAGGAGGGGTTAGCCTCGGACTTTGACAAACTAGTCCTAATGCACGGCGTACCGCTTACCTTGTGTGTACTCATCCCCGTTAAATACCTCGCCACAGGTATGACATACCTGGATATGAGCACATACTTTGGTGTACCGAAAACGGTCTGCCATTCGATCGTGGACCGCTTCCTCCTCTCCTTCCCAAAACGATACAAGGAGACATGGGTGCGTTTCCCCACACGTAACGACATGGCCGAGATGGCCGCTGAGTTCCGCAATGCGCGCGGTCTCCCGAACGTCATTGGTGCGGTCGACGGGACCCACCTGCAGGTGAGAGGCATTAACGACTACCGTTCCGAATACTACTGTCGGAAACAAATGTACTCGGTGCAGTTGCAATTAACGGTTGATGCGCGCTGTAGAATATGGGATTACGTTGTGGGGTGGCCGGGCTCGGCTCATGACGCCCGGGTGTTTTCCAAGTGTGCTTTATTCAACCGGATGGAGAAGGGAGACATTGCACCATACCACATCCTAGGGGATGCTGCCTACCCTTTAAAAGACTTCTGCCTTGTACCCGTCCATGCAAGCAAAGAACGGATCCTAAGCGGATGGGAACAGAGTTACAACTATGTGCACTCTGCCACACGCATGGCAGTCGAGAGAGCCATAGGCATGTTTAAAGGAAGATGGCGAATTTTTCAGTCCTGCCATGGCGCCCGACTGTGGAGGGTGTGTGCTGGGGCGGGATGCGCAGTGGTGCTCCATAACATGATACAGGGTCAAGAGGCTTGCCGAAAGCGGTCGAGAGGGTGCTCGCAAGACGGGACGACGCGGAACCTGAAAAGATGGTGGGAGATGCCGGAGATGCAGTCGTACGTATGGCCTCCCGCGGCCCCCACCACGCGGGAAGCGCTTGTTGCACGGCGTCGTGACTTCGGTATGCACGCCCACGCGGCGTGGCTCAGGCGGCATGAGGAGCGCGACCATCAAACGGAGGGGCGGTGAAGTACCAATGCCCGTCAGGGCCCAACACGACAGTCGCCTGGGTTGGGCCCGCTGATGCTGACTCGTACCCCGTCGTGCGCACGGGGACTTGGTGCCCGGACGCAGTGTACCACGGCGAAATGGGTGGGCCGTGATGCACCGTAGGCTCTGGGCAGGGCGGAGAGCTGTGACTAGCCGTCCCGCGGCCACCAGGTGACGGGGATGCGCTGAGGATTCCCGCGGTCGCGCATGGCCGCGGTGAGGGCGAGTTGGTGTAAGCGGGCTGCGGCACGAGTCGCTCCAGGACGTCGACGAGGCGACCGAACGCGACCTCCTGACGTTCAGCCCGCTCATGCATGAGTCGGGTCATCGCGTCCGCGACTAGGACGTGTCCGGAACGGGAGGGTGATTCGACGCCCTTCTTGTTTGCTGGAATGTGGGCGGCCGAGCCGTCCGTGTCTAGGGGGGGGGGGAACGGAGATGGGAGCATGTTGCATAGGCATAGGCTGTACTGATTTGCAATGGCCGTAGACACAACATTTGCGGTTGACATGATGTGTAGTAAGTGATACACTTACTGACTCTACTCACCCCCCTCGGTTGGCGCCTGTGCGGCTGTCCCTTGAGTCGTCGCCTCATGTGCGGCGCGTGGTGCACGTGAGCTTGTAGGTCCCGCATTCTCCGTCCTTGCCCCACCCTCGTCGACGACATGCGGGTCGGGCGCGCGAGTCGACCGCCAGTAGTTCCACACGTGCGGATACCACTCGGGCTTAGGCATGGGGTTGCTGCCGGATTTCGCGTCAGCTACCTCGATATCCTGCATCCGCTTTGAAAGATACTTCCATTTTTTTTGCATCGCGACAATTGGGCGATTCCATTCCGGATTAGCGCGCTTCATGACTAGATGAAGTTTCTCCCATGGTTGTCCACCTTGCTTTCCTTTCAGCTTGACAAAATCCTCTTTCGCTGCCCACATCGCCGCAGCGAGCTCGGTAAGCTCACCTTCGCGCCAGTATTTGTTTGTCGGGTCCGCTCCAACGGCGGTGCTCTTGCATTTCAGGTCCGAGCGGTCTTGGAGTTTGTCGGAGTCATCAGCAGTCGCGTCGTCAACATCATCGGCCGCATTTACGTCGTCGTAGACGCCGTAGCTTCCGTCATCGGTGTTGACATCGTCGGCAGCGTCTGGAGCATCCAGGCTGGCGTAAGAGTCCTCGTCGGCCGGCTGGTCGCTGGCTGAAGAGGCTGGCCCGTTGCCGGATAACGACTCCTTCCGCACTGGAGATCGCGTCAAGCCAATCAGCCGAATGCGACTGATGCCACGCTTCTCCAAGTCTTCGAGGTAACGAATCATGGGGGGCGGCCGACAGGGCACGTCGACATGCTCCTCCTTGGACTTGCGCTTACTACTGTTGTGCATATGCTTGGGAGCCATGCCTCGTTACGACGGCGGACGCAGTTTTTTCAGTGGGTGTGTCGAGTAGTGAATTCGAAGAGATTCGGGTCACACATTTGTATCCGCAAGCCACACGCTGCTCTGTGCTTGTGCTGCTGTTGGTCCACCAACTCGCGATGCCTTTGTTGCTGTGCGCTTCGATGCAGGCTTTCAATGTCAAATTTTTGGTGGCAACGGAACTTCTGCCAAAACAAGCGGGCCGTCAGTTGTCGCGGTCATGTACGACCAAAACTGCGCTCTCTCGCATTCCATTCAGCGACTCGCCAGACGATTTGATTTGCCGCGAATGGGTTCCGTTCGCAAATTGTCGCTGCCTGTATCAAACAGAAAAATTAATGAATAGAGAGAGAGAGTACACAAACATATACCTAACTGTTGTACTCTCTAGAAGATGACCCTATACAGTCTATACAAGCATGATAACTAAACATGTTTGACACACCCCCTGGACTGCATAGGGGAATGTTCTAGACAAGCAGCTCAGGGTGGCACTACTAGTCCAGCCTCTGAGACAAGGGTCTAAAAGACCAGTCAGAAGGAGTACAGGCAAGGCAAGAACTAGTACAGGGCGGCACTACTAGTCCAACCACTGTAAGAGGACACAAGTCCAGTCTGAGTGTACACACAGATATATAGGACAGTACAGAGTCAAGGCCCGAGTAAGTGAGAGACTACAGGAACCAGACCAAGCTGTACACAGTGCCGCTGATGATCTTTAGGCGCAAGCGCCTTCGTAAAGATATCAGCTGTGTTGGCACCGGAGGCTAAGTGTACTACGCGAGCCTGGCGACGCTGCTGTAGCTCACGCAGGAGGAAGTACCGCAGCTGGATGTGCTTCGCTCTGCCCTCGAGTCGAGGCTCCTGACACAGGAGGATCATGGCCCTGTTGTCAGCGTACAGGACCGGGGCAGAGCTAGGCCGCTCACCTAAGTCAGTGAGCAAGAAGGTCAGCCAGCGGAGCTCCTGTGCCGCCATGGCACCGGCGTAGATCTCGGCCTCACAGCTGGACTGGGCAACAGACGAAGAGCGGGTAGCTCTCCACGAGACAGCACCTGAACCAAGGCTAAAGCAGTAGCCCTGGGAAGACCTGAGCGTCTCGGCGTCGTCTGCCCAAGAAGCGTCTGTGTGTCCAGTAAGGACCACTGGCCTGCGTCCGCCTAGCACTAACCCCATGCCCGATGTACTTGCAAGATAACGCAAAACCCTCTTAGCGGCAGACCAGTGCTGAGGTCGGTGCCTGCCTGTGGCCACGAAACGAGCCAGGATGCTGAGAGGGTATGCGAGATCTGGGCGAGTGCAAGTCATCAGGTACATGAGGCAACCCACTAGCTCAGCATAAGGACCACTGGGATCTACCGACTCCTCAGGAACTGGAGCGGAGAGTCTGTGGTCCAGAGGAAGAGGGGTGGGCTGTGCGGAGGAGAACTGAAGGCCGAACCTCTGAAGGACCTGGCGCACCAAGTGTGACTGAGTCAGGGTGATGGTGCGCGCGGCTCTGTCCCTGGAGATCTGCAAGCCAAGGTAACGGCGCAGCTCTCCAAGGTCAGTGCAGGTGTGTCTCTTCAGCAGCTCTGCCTTCACGGAGGCCAGTGCGTCCCTGTCAGCAGTGGCAAAGACCAGGTCGTCTACGTAGACGAGGATGTAGAACGGAGTCGAGCCAGCACGAACGAAGAGCGAGGGGTCTGCAGAGGACGGAAAGAACTGCAGGTCAGCAAGGGTAGCACGCAAAGTGTCGTGCCACTCACGAGGCGCCTGGCGCAGGCCGTAGACTGGCCGCCGCAGAAGCCACTGGGTCCCAGGGGGGAAGGTGCCAGTAAAGCCCTGAGGGCGACGCAGGTAGACCTGCTCGTGAAGGCTGCCCTGAAGAAAGGCAGTGGAGAAGTCGAGGGAGTGAAGCTCGTAGTCACGCTGAGCCGCTACGTGTAGCAGCACCCGAAGAGTAGTCATCTTCGGGGTAGGAGCGAAAGTCTGAAAGAAGTCCACCCCCTCGCGCTGACTGAAGCCTCTAGCCACGTAGCGCGCCTTGAACACAGGCGGCTCTCCAGGAGGGCGCTTCACCTTGAAGAGCCAACGGCCATCGACCACGTTCACCCCAGGTGGGGGAACTGCGTCGACGAAGGTGCCGGTGGATCTCCAAGATGCCATCTCCTGCTCCATGGCAGCTATCCACTGAGAGGCCCAGGGTCCCGAAACCGCCTCAGCGTAAGTACGAGGGGTCGGGATGTCGAAAGCGTCTGGGTCACCCTCAGGGACTAGCAGCATGGAACAGAGATGGGGAGCAGCCTCGGACAGGAAAGCAAGCTCAAACTGGCGGTCCTCCAGGACGTCACTGCCGAGGGCAGGAGCACCCCCGACAGACGGAGGACAGGCAGGGTGAGAGACCAGAGCGGTGGCGTAGTCAAGGCGGCGGGTAGAGGCGAAGTCAGCGACCGCAGCGACGAGGGCGTCAAGACTCGACACGGGAACAGACGGGTCGGTAACGAGAGAGGCAAGGACCCGAGGAACAAGAGGACGAGCGGCACGAAAGGAGTCGGACAGAGGAGGAGACGCAACGACAAGAGAAGACGGAGGAGGAGACGGGAGGAGGGGAGGTCGAGACGCGTGGGAACGGAGCAACATAGGGTGAGAGCGCGGGACAGGGGAGACAGGACGAGCACGAGAGGGGCGGCGAGACCAGACGTGTGAGGGCGGCGTCGGGTCAGGAGACAGAGGAGGGGACACAGGAGGGGAACGAGGGGGAAGACGAGCCGGGGACGAGTCTGGCAGAGGGAACACGGGGCCGTAGACGGGAAGAGGGGGAGACGGCAGGAGAGGAACAGGCGCAGGGTCAGGAGACGGAAGGCCGAGCAGACGGAGGGCGGACACAGGCGGGGACTGCTGCTGCGGCGACACAACACCAACTCCAGGGCCACAAGCTGCGCGACGGCTACCTCCCGAACCCTCCACACCTGCACCCCCAGAAGGGACACCCCCAGAGTCCACAAACGGCGGCAGCGACGACAGCGGCGGCGGCGGCGGCGGCTGCAGCGGCGGCTGCGACGGCGGCGGCGGCGGAGACGACGGCTGCAACGGCGGCGGCGGTGGAGACGACGGCTGCAGCAGCTGCGGCGACGGCGGCTGCGGAGGCGGTGGAGGAGGAGACACCGGGGGAGGGACAGACGGCGAGGACTGCGCCGGAGGACTACCAGAGTCAGAAGACTCGTCGACCGGGACGACCGACGGGAGGGGGGTGACGTGAGACACACCAGAGGGGGCCGGACGGGGGGGCGGGGGGGGGGAGGGGCAGGGACCACCAGGGAGGGAGGAACCAGGAAAAGGGGGGGAGTAACCGGGGGACCACGGTGGGGAAAGCGGCGGTAGAAGGAGACGGACTCGTCAAAGGTGACGTCGCGAGAGTGAAAGAAGCGGTGAGACGGCGGGTGGTAGAAGTGCCAGTCGGACGCGTCAAGGGGGAAACCGAGGAAGACGCAGGGGAGGGTGCGGGCAGTGAGCTTGTCCGTGCCAGAGGCACGAACGTGAGCAAGGCAGCCCCAGACGCGGAACGCAGACGCGTCACCAGGGGACCCGGTCCACAGAAGGGTCGGCGAAACCTGCGGCCGCTGGGGGTGCGGCCACAGGTTAAGCTGGTGAGCGGCGTAGCGCACTGCGAACGGCCACAGAAAATGGGGTGCACCGGCGTGGATCATGGAGGTGCGAGCCACCTCCATGACCAAACCGATGCGTCGCTCAGCGACCCCATTCTGCTGCGGGGAGTCCGGCAGGGTAAACGTCTGGGTGATGCCCTCCGCACGACAGAAGCGACCAAGGACACCTGAGGCAAACTCGCCACCCCGGTCGGAGTGAAGACGCAAGGCAGGGAGACCGCGGTGGACACGAGCAGAGACAAGCCAGGGGATGAGAACGTCAGGCACGTCGGCCTTCCGCTCCAGGGGGAAGACGGTGGTGTAGCGCGTGAAGTCGTCGACAAGCACTAGGAAGAAGCGCTCGCGACGCGGCCCATGGACCGGGGCTGGGCCCCAGACGTCCATGTGCAGAGTGTGCAGTGGTGCGGTGGTAGGGGGAAAAGAGGAGGAGTGAGGGGCACGGCGGAGCCGGCCCTCGACACAAGGCGTGCACGGTGGGGCGGGGGAGGAGGGAAACTCGGGGAACGAACCGGGGAGACCAAGGACGAGACCGTGCTGGGACATGTGACGCAGACGTGGGAGTGCAGGGTGACCAAGGCGGTGGTGCCAAAGGAGAGTCGGGTGAGTGAGGGACCGACAGGAGCACGCGGCTGCAACCTGGGTGGACGCAACTACCGGGGGGGAAGACCTAGCCGGGGACGGCGCGGTGTCAAGTGTGAACAGGCCGGACACCGGGTCCCGGGGGAAAGTGGTAAGGGGGGCACCAGTGGCGGCCTCGGTACAGACAGCATACCGCTCGTGACCAGGGAACGTAGTGGTGACGCCAAGGTCCTGGAGGCAGCCGACACCAACTAGGTTCCTGGAGAACGAGGGGATATGCAGACCTGTGAGAGTGCCCGAAGGAACCGCCGGACAGGGAAGGGAGGTGGAACTGCGGGCAACGACGGGACCACCGGAGGGGTCAGCAAGAGTAACTGCAGCGGGAACAGGCAGCGGCGTCAGCGTCGTGGAGTCGCGGAAGAAACACCGGGAGGCGCCAGAGTCCAAGGTGAAGGAAAGCGCAGCAGTCGCGCGAGGCAGCAGTGAAGCGGTGGAAGCACCAAGGCTAAGCAAAGCAGGAGATCCTACGCCTGACGCAGCAGGGGAGTCTACGCTAGGCACCGCTACACTAGGCAACACGGGGTAATAAGAGGGAAGCACACTAGAGTCATCAGCATACATCACATGCAAGGCCGCTACAATGGCATCCATGTCCAAGTCAAAAATCCTAATGCTACGCCTAAGCAAGCTGTGCCAGTCCGGGAGGTCGGGCGCCGGGCCAAAGCGCTGGCGGAACAGGTCGTCCAGGCGACGAAAACAGCGAGGAGTAGAATGACCGATCTTACCGCAAACGAAGCCGCGGCGAGGACCGGTCTGGATCTGGTACTGACAGGGCCCGCCTCCAGAACCACCACCCGGTGCACCACCACGCGCACGACCACCACCAGCTCCAGGCCACCCAGGTGGGAGAGTACTCGCCTGCCTCGTCTGCGGCGGCTGCTGCGGCTGCTGGGAAGGCTGCGGCTGCGGCGACTGCTGCTGCTGCGGCTGCTGCAACTGTGGAGGCAGCGGGGCAGCTGGACCGGGCAGGGTCCCCACGTCCGCACCGGCACCGGACGACCCGCCTCCACCACTACCCCCACCCGCACCCCCGCCGCCTCCGCCGCTCCCAACCTTGGGGCGGCGGCCCTTCGCCGAGCGGGACTGCACTGCAGCAGCAGTCTCAGCCACAGCGACAGAGCCGTCGGAGAAGGTACACTGAGCGGGGGCACAACCCTGAAAGATAGGGACCGGTACTGTACCGCTCGCCAGGGCTATGGAGCGGTGACGAGTCTCTATGGCAGTCAGGGTGTCAACAAAGTCGGTGAGGGTGAGAGCAGCAGGGTGGATGCTAAGGAACTGGTCGCGGGCGGCGGCAAGGCGGTCAGGTAGGCGGGTGGCAAGGAGGTAGAGGGTAGAGGTCATGGGAGGCTGGTGGACTCTAAGCTGAGCATCAGTGCAGGCAGCGCGCCAGGCCTCATCTATCGAGCGCAGGTGGGCAGCGAGGTCAGAGACAGTGGGGAAAGACGCCAGGTCAGGAAAGAGCAGGGGAAGGATCAGGCGACCCACTGAGGCAGCAGGAGGGGTAGAATAGCGCTTGATGACAGCATCGAGGTAGGCCTGGGCGGTAGGAATGGTTCTAAAGCGAGGGCGCTCAGTGGGGGGGAGGGCATTGCTAATGGCGAGCTGAGCAAGGGCATCGCGGGAAAGCCAGACAGAGCGGGCAAGGGCAGCAGCGGCAGTGGACTCGCGCTCAGCGGGCGTGGGATCAGCGGGCAGCACAGCAGGGGGGTCAGGGCAGGGGAGCATACCGTCTAGGTGTGCAGAAAGCGGGTGGCCGTCCTGCCGCTGGCCAGTGAGGTGGCGGCGAAGGTCAGCCAACCACGCCTCGAACTCCAGAGGCTGACCCTCAACATCAAAACGAAGCTCAGCAGCCATGAGGGGCAGTGGAGGACAGTGCAGTGCGGTGCAGTGCGATGCAGTGCGGTGCAGTGCGGTCCAGTGCGGTGCAGTGCGATGCAGTGCGATGCAGTGCGGTGCAGTGCGGTCCAGTGCGATGCAGTGCGGTCCAGTGCGGTGCAGTGCGGTCCAGTGCGGTGCAGTGCGATGCAAGGCGGGGCAGGAAAGTGCAGGAGGGTGCAAAGTGGTGCGGGGAACGGGGGACAGTACCAGGAAGTATGGAGGGCCGGGGCAGGTGCGTCGGGGCCGGGCAGGCACGACAAGGCCGGGCGGCGGCGACGGGGCCGGGCGGCAGCGACAAGGCCGGGCGGCTGCGACGTGGCCAGGCGGCTGCGACGGGGCCGGGCGGCTGCGACGGGGCCGGGCGGCAGGGACGAGGCCGGGCCGGACACAGCAGGGCCGGGCAGGGGCGACGGGGCCGGGCGGCTGCGACGTGGCCGGGCGGCTGCGACGTGGCCGGGCGGCTGCGACGGGGCCGGGCGGCTGCGACGGGGCCGGGCGGCGGCGACGGGGCCGGGCGGCAGGGACGGGGCCCGGGCAGGCCACAGCAGGGCCGGGCAGGGGCGACGGGGCCGGGCGGGCGAGCAGGGGCCAGGCAGGTGCGTCAGGGGCCGGGCGGGCGCCACGCGGCCGATAGGCCGCGACGGGGCCGAGCAGGGGCGACGGGGCCGAGCAGGGGCGACGGGGCCGAGCAGGGGCGACGGGGATGGGTAGGGGCGCGACGGGGCCTGGAGGGGCGTTACCAAGCCCAGGTAGGGGCGCGACGGGGCCTGGGGGGAGCGCAATGGGGCCCAGGAGGGGCGCTACGGGGCCTGGGAGGAGCGCGACTGGGCTAGGGAGGGGCGCAACGGGGCCTGGAAGGAGCGCAATGGGGCCCAGGAGGGGCGCTACGGGGCCTGAGAGGAGCGCGACGGGGCCCTGGAGGGGCGCTACCAGGCCCTGGAAGGGGCGCGACGGGGCCTGGAGGGGCGCTACGAAGCCCTGAAAGGGGCGCGACGGGGCCTGGAGGGGCGCTACGAAGCCCTGAAAGGGGCGCGACGGGGCCTGGAGGGGCGCTACGAAGCCCTGGAAGGGGCGCGACGGGGCCTGGGAGGAGCGCAATGGGGCCCAGGAGGGGCGCTACGAGGTCTGGGAGGAGCGCGACGGGGCCCAGAAAGGGGCGCAACGGGGCCCAGGAAGGGGCGCGACGGGGCTAGGGAGGGTCGCGACGGGGCTAGGGAGGGTCGCGACGGGGCTAGGAGCACGACGGGGCCCAGCTAGGGGGCGAGCGGAAGCGTGAGGGGGGGGGGGGATCCTACCTACGCGTGATACCATATCAAACAGTGAAATTAATGAATAGAGAGAGAGAGTACACAAACATATACCTAACTGTTGTACTCTCTAGAAGATGACCCTATACAGTCTATACAAGCATGATAACTAAACATGTTTGACAGCCTGGTCGCCCAGTTTTTCGCAGAAAGGTTGGCCAAAGTTCACCTACCACAACTTTTGCCAACCAAAACCTCAAACTTTGGCCAAACTTCCGCTGACGTGGCGAGTCGGTCGGCCAAACTTCAACTCGGCCAAACTTCAGACCGCGGCCTTAGATAAACTTGCAAATCTGGTATGGACCTAAACTTGCTAAACTTGGTAATCCGGCTTTTCTGCGTGTGTGCAAGATGTATCCAAGGAGGAAGGCGAAAATGTGAACTTGTTTATCACAAGTTGTATGCACTTGATTCTTCAGATTTTAGATGCTGATTTCCTGTGTATTTTTCCCCACTGCTTGGCTGGATATTAATCTAGCAGCTTTGCTAATCTGAAAGCAACGCAACTTTAATGTGCTGTACTGCAACTGTTGTAGCAAAATGCGTGCTGTGTTGTTTGTTTTTACATCCGCTGGTTTCTCAATGCCCAGGAATGTGAATATTGCCATCAGGAACGGGAATGGCGTGCTGATCAAATGCAGCTCTCTGGTACTGGTCAGGTGAAATGAACATTGAGCTGTGAAAGGATGTCACTACCACACTATATGAGTTATATTTGAGCTACAGCGATGTACAAGCTATCAGCAATGGTCCTAAATCTACGTTCCGATCCAGTGAGGAATCCACTGTCAGCTAGCTATCAGCTTGTATGGTCCGAGTGACGGAGGTACCAGGCAGTTGAGCGCTGTCATCATGCTCTTGTGACGAATTACTAGTGTGCAGGCCCCCGCCTTCCTGCCAATGCACGCCTTCCCGCCAAAAGATGAAGCGCGGACTGGCGTGTGCGCCACGCCTCGAAACTAGGCGGTGACAATCTTGAAAGCCACGCATCGCCGGGCCTGGGGGAACTGGGCGTTGTTGTCGTTGGGATTGATCCACACGGACGAGTTCTCGGTCTTGGCCTTGAAGAACTTGATCTTGGCGGAGTCGACGCCCATCTTGATGCACTGGTTGCTGAACTGCTTGAGCTTCCATTTGGGGATGGGACGGATGCCCAGACGGTCGGAGCGATTGACGTACTTCTCGTACGACTTCTTGCCGCCACGGGGACGGAAGAAGAAGTAATTGTCGCAAAAGACCTTCTTCTGCTCACGTAAATGAAAATCGAGTGTCAGTGTCTCAACGTTGATGTCGAACAGAATCATGCTAAGACGAGTGCGTTAGGTACGCTGAGCGAGCGTCGAAGCTCGGCGGTGCCGGTGGATGCTCTGAAGCTCACCTGGCCGCCCACTTTGCACGTCGAGTTTCCGAGGGTGGTCGCGGTCTCAACGAACAGAGACTGGCCCCTGCAAGCAGGCAGAAAGGATGTGAACGAAATTCAGTATGGTTATTGGAAAACAGCTTCGTTCTGAAACTGACGTGAAGCGCAGCGGAAGGGAAATTCCAGGCTGTGCAAGTGAGCGACAAGATACTGGACGTACTTCCAGCGAAGGCCGGTGCTGACGACCTTCTCATCCCGAACGGACTTGAGCTTAAAGACCGGAACGGCCTTGTCATAACCGTAGAAGTAGAAGTCGCACGCCTGAGTTGGACTACCGCATTGAGCAGACGCGCAGATTGCCCAAAATCCTGCACACAAAATCGCCAGTTGAAGTCAAACCTAGGGCATTAACGCTACGCTGGAAAAAAGGAAGTGGCTTAACGTTTTAAAAGCTAAGCATGGGAGACTCACCAATGGCCGCCAGGGCCAGGAGGAGAGCCTTAGACATGGTGCTGATCGGAAAAATTGGACGGAAGTCTATTAGAATGGCTTGGAAGTTAGCAGATGCTTGTGAGAAGAAAGCAGATGCTAGTCCGTTATGATCAGATTCAGGCTGCTGAGATGCTTTATGGGATGCTGGGAGCAGCCCCCCAATTCTGTTGATCTCCTCATTGGCTGTCTGGCACAACTGTTTGAAACCACCCGCGCGAACTGCGACGCGGCGACTTTGCACCAGTTCGCTCGCTTTCGCCTAAGATGTTCTCGTTGGCCCGCCAAGGTGGCTTGGGATCCTGTTGGATAGTGGTCAGGGCTGTCGGTTCAAGGGTAACTTTTCTTCGGAGCTGGATTTATTAGGGCACAAAATTAATGCCAGCACTAGCACCATCGATTAAACTACCTCAGCATTTTTATGACAGAAGAGTACAATCTGAGTAATGAAGAAAACAACAATTATCAGGAAACAATAAACTTTCTGGGGTAAGGCTCAAGCCGACCAACAGCCCCATATGCGACAACGAAACGGAACTCTATTCGCCAGAATCCGAAATGTCCGCGCCTGAGAAATTTCTGCTCCCCGAGACAGAGCCAGTGCCCCAAGGTCCGCGCATCGTCCCGCCACTTCGCTAACGCGTCTCGGTTCTGAGTTGCGCCTCCTTGTTTTGGCGGTGTGCCAGTGACATGCCAACGAACTGTTCGAGAAGTTTGGTGCGCCCTTTGCCGCCAGAACTTTCGCCAGGCGGGTGGCCCGCGCACCCGTGGATTGCTGCATGACCTTGTATCTCTTGAATAGTCCGTTGCCTCGGATACGACCATCGAAAAAAAAACAAGAGGCAACGAGATCGTCTTAGGGTTGCGGAGCATTTCATGATGAGACTTTATTATACATAAAATGTTATATTTCCATATCACAACAAACATTTGATTTTTATTTCCATATGACAAGAACAAATGATGCTGTTTCACATATTTACTTGAAAATTGAGGCACTGCGTGAAAATGAATTTGGACAAGAACTTCCGAGTTGGAGACATTATTTTCCCATCTTGTCAAGGTTCGAATCCGAGAGTGTTTAAATCAAACTCGACATTCAAACGACGGAGCTAAACTACTTGTCATATTTGATTGTTTGTATTTAACCAAATCGTAATTTTGCGACGAAGGTCCAACAACTTCAGCAACTCGCTTCCCCTTGTCCTCTTGCCTAACATTCTCCTCAGCAGAGCTACCTCTCTCATAGCACAGGTACGTCATTTACAGCGTCCTAGGCTTTCAAGTCACTGAAGGGTTGCATTTAATTTCCTTAGATTTCCTATTTTCTTTCCGCGACCTCGATAGTTCTAGGTGGAGATATTGGGCTGCAGCCCATTTCGACCTTGTTCTAGGTCGTTATTAGGGGGTTGCAGCCCATTTCAGCATAGTTCTAGGTCGATCTGTTAAAGTAGCACTAGGCTAGGAGGAAGTGAAAGAAGACAGCCATGGTTGTGGCGGTGGGGTTTAGCTAGGAGAGTAGGAAAATGTCGAGAGGAAAGAGAGTTGGATTAGGAAGAGAGAGGAGTACAAGGAGGGGTTTGTACCCTCTACAGAAAAGGTTCAGTAACAACCTACCAAGCCTATATAAATTATAACTTATATAATTTTAACACACCCCCTAGGCTTGGTAGTCACACACCCACCCAACACACCACACACCCCCTAACCTAGCACCCCCATTCCAGCCACAGGGACAGCGACACTAGGTCGGTCGACCCCACGGTGCGTGAGGCGGCGACGTCGACCGCAGGGGCTGCGGCGGCGACGGCGGCAGCGGCGGCAGTGTCGACAGCGGCGGCGGCGGCGGCGTGCGGCTGCGTGGCCCCGACGCAAGCGGCGACAGCGGCGGCGGCGGCGGCTTCGACAACAGCGGCGGCGGCGGCGGCACCCGCACCTCTCGGTGACTTGACCAGGCCCCGCGACGGTGGGACGGCCGGCGGGAGTCAGCCGTCGGCTGCGGCAAGATACTGGACACAGGGGAAGGGGGGTGGGGCGTGGTCCAGCCTCACGCTTGAGGCTGGCGTGCGGGCAGCAGGTGTGGCGGCACCATGAACGTCGCGCGGCAAGCTGCCGTCCGACGACGCTGCCACGGCACCGTTACGACGCCGACACATCGCGGGACGATGCAGCGGTGGGACGTCGCCGCTGCGACGGTAAGCACGGCGCCGTCACAGCAGTGTGGCGTCGACGCCACGCGTCACGACGCGACGGCACGGCAGGAACGGGCATGGCCGCCATGGCGGCACGGCAGGAAGGCAGTGAACGAGAACGCAGCGGAAGCACGGAGGGGAGCAGGCCCAGGCAGGACGTCCTGCTCTGATACCATGTTAAAGTAGCACTAGGCTAGGAGGAAGTGAAAGAAGACAGCCATGGTTGTGGCGGTGGGGTTTAGCTAGGAGAGTAGGAAAATGTCGAGAGGAAAGAGAGTTGGATTAGGAAGAGAGAGGAGTACAAGGAGGGGTTTGTACCCTCTACAGAAAAGGTTCAGTAACAACCTACCAAGCCTATATAAATTATAACTTATATAATTTTAACACGATCTACAGGGCTGCAACCCATATCGACTTCGTTCTAGGTCGATTTTAGGGATTGCGACATTTTTCGACCTAGATCTAGCTCGATCTATTGAGCTGCAACCCATTTTGACTTCCGTTTTGCCGTTTTTCTGCAACCCTTTCCTTTTACTTTCTTGTATCATTCTCTAATTTGTGTTCACCGTCTGTTTCTTGCTCTACTTTTTTCCTTGTTTCCGGATCCCCTCTAATTCCCTTGGTATTCTTGTTTACTTGACACAGGATTCGAAGCACTCGTGAAAGCTGAAAAGTGGCTTCGTTATGGGCGTCAGCTAAACACCGTTTCTATTCCAAGCTATCTGAATTGCATTGTTGCTTGTCAAAAAAAAAAATTGCTTACTGATAATTTTCTTGCTATCATAAATGTCAGAAACCCAGTCACTAACCACTGGGTTAAAAGGGCTTGTTGAATAGCGGGTAAGTGCGCCCATAGCCCCCCAGGCTCTGCACCTGTGGCCCTTCCCCGAGGATCTCAAGGTCAACCCCAGCGGGTCACTCAACACCCCCCCCCCCGCTGGGATAAGTGGAAGACACAAGCGCCTCTGCAGCGCTGGCACTGGGAGTTGAACCCAAGACCTTTGGCTCTGATGTACCATGTCAGAAACCCAGTCACTAACCAATGGGTTAAAAGGGCTTGTTGAATAGCGGGTAAGTGCGCCCATAGCCCCCCAGGCTCTGCACCTGTGGCCCTTCCCCGAGGATCTCAAGGTCAACCCCAGCGGGTCACTCAACAATAAAATGTATTATCTCACGGTCGACATAATAGGTTTTTGACTTCCCCCACTTAGCTGGGGAAGCGATAGCCAATTTTTGTCAATGACAAAAATACGCCACTGGAAATAATGGGAAACAACGACAAACATTTTAGATTCAAATCAATTAGGGAAACTAAAAGTTATAGGGATTTTTTTAAAAAGATTTGGTAGTTTTTTTCCAAATCACAAATTTGAAAAAAAAATCATTACGATCGATCGCAATAGGTTGCTCCGCAACCCAAAAATGAATAGTTCTTACCATTCTTGTGGTGTGTAATTATTTATTTGCCTACACTACTGTAATGAGAGCAGACATTGTATTAGAGAAACGAATGAACTAGAATGAGTGATACAGGGTGGTTTTGTCCAAAGGTGTTGTACTCTCTGTCAGCATGCATCCATCTAGCTTATAACATATACACATATGTTGACACACCCCCTAGGCTAGACAAGGGGCAACGACTACCACGAGACACGCAACGCAATGTGACACTACTAGTCCAACCTCTGAAGCAAGGGTCTGAAGACCAGTCTGCAAGAGTACAAAGGAAACAAGAGCAACCTAAGGCGGCACTACTAGTTCAGCCACGGGAACAGGAGCCACAAGGTCAGTCAAGATAATATAAGATATACTACACAACAAAAGGTCCTAGCAAGTTAGAAGCTACAGGAACTAGGCCACGCTGTACACAGTGCCGTTGATGATCTTTAGGCGCAAGCACCTTCGTAAAGATATCAGTTGTGTTGGCACCGGAGGCCAACTAAACTACACGGGTCTAGCGGTGCTGCTGTAGCTCGCGCAGGAGGAAGTACCGCAGCTGGGCGTGCTTTGCTCTGCCCTCCAATCGAGGCTCTTGATACAGAAGGATCATGGCCCTGTTGTCAGCTTACACGATCGGAGTAGAGCTAGGCCGCTCACTTAAGTCTGTGAATAAGAAAGTCAGTCAGCGAAGGTCTGAAACAAGTCAACACCCTCGCGCTGACTGAAGCTTCTAGTAACGTAGCACGCCTTGAACACTGACGGCTCTCCAGGAGTGCGCTTTACCTTGAAGAGCCACCAACCATCGACTACGTTCACCTAGGTGGGGGAACTACGTCGACGTAGGTGCCGGTGGATCTCCAAGATGCCATGTCCACGTCCATGGCAGCTATCCACTGAAAGGCCCAAGGTCTCGAGATCGCCTTAGCGTAAGTGCGAGGGGTTGAGATGTCAAGGGCGTCTGGGTCACCCTCATGAACTAGCAACAGGGAGCAAAGATGAGGAGCGGTGTCGAACAGGAAAGTGAGCTCGTACTACCGGTCTTCCAGGACGTCACTGCCAAGGGCATGAGCATCCCCGACGAATGGAGGACGGACATTGTCAGAGACCAGAGCGGTGGCGTAGTCAAAGAGGCGGGTAGAGGCAAAGTCTGCGGCAGCGACAAGAGCAAAGAGACTAGAGACAGGAACTGAGGGGTCAGTAACTAGGGAGGCAAGGACCCGAGGAAAAGGAGGACTAGCGGCATGAAGGAGTTCATACAGATGAGGCGGATCGACAACAAGCGACGATGGAGGAGGCGCCATGAGGAGGGGAGAATGAGACGCGTGGGAACGAAGCAACATAGGGTGAGAACGAAGAGCAGGAGAGACACGGCGAGCACGAGAGGCACGGCGAGACCACCAGCGGGAGGGTGGGGTCGGGTCAGGAGAAAAAGGTGGAGAACCAGGAGGAGAACGAATGGGGAAGCG